CGGCCACCGCCGCCTCCCATTACGGGGGGACCGGTGCCACCACCGCCGCCCGGAGCTGCAATGGCTGCCGGCCCCGGCCCCACCACTCCCCTCAGCTCCGTCGCCGCCATGAGCCGCCGCCGCCGCCCCGAGAGACAGGACCGGAACCGCCTACGAGAGCTGCCGCCGCCGCCGGGAGCGCCCCACACGGCTAGCGCATCAGCGGCCGCCGCGCAGCGTCCCTGCCCCACCAGCCCGCGGCGGGGAGGCGGGCTTGGCCGCACGGACCGAGGGTGGCGATTGGAGTTGTCAAGTGTCACTTGCGGAAGCCCTGGCGGACATTGGTATTCCCTTCGGCTCTGGTATTCTGCACCGCCCAGTGAGAGACCGACAGTGAGAGCCTGGGGACGCATCCGGCAGCCCCGCCGTTGATTGGTTTCGGTGAAAGTCAATCAGACACAACTACAAGCTCATTGGTTCTTTACCAAAGGCTCTTGTGCTCGGGGACAGTGACGAGGACCTAGTCAAATTAATCATTGATTGGTTTTCGTTTCCGCCACTCATTTCAGTTTACGGGCTCGTCACCGCCACGTCACCTCTTCCCATCACTCCTCTCATCATCCTCTTCCGCCCTTACGGATTGGTCGTTAGCATCAGCTGCTCAAGTTTTTCTACAATTTACTGGACCAATGGATGAAAAGGGGGCGGAGCATCTTCGTCACGTCCTCACTTTCATTCTTTATTGGTGAAACCTTATGTCATTTACTTGTTGGGAGAGGCAGCGATTGGAGATGACTATTTCCGGTAATTGTGTGTGTGGCAACTGGATCTTGGGAATTCTGACCAATAAAAGAGACTTAAAGTGGCAGGCTGGAGCAACCAATAAAAACCCGGGAAGAGCGCTTGGGGGCGTGGCGGCCTGTCTCCAACCTTTGGGAAGTGGGTGGGAACCGTAAATGAATCTTTTTCTCTAGAGCCTGGCGGGCAGGGATTATCATAATCACCGGAATATCCCTTATTTCCCAGAAATAGCTCCTCCAGTCCTCTTTTGGATTCACGGACCCCTTCCTTGGTTTGCTGTTCAGTCCATTATCGCACCTCATCCCTGATCTCTCGGTTCCCGCTAGCCATATGCCTCTAATTCTGCCCCATATTTGCGGGCCTGTTGTGCTGACCTGTGTCTGAGGACCAGGCTGTGCACTTGCTGGTTTTAGCATCATAAGAACACAAAGGCATGCTTCACTTTGGCCTGAAAAAATATATTTTTTAAATTAAAGAATTGTAATATTTAATTTGCCTACACTACCTTTTCCAAGGTCCTAAACTCGACATTGTTGAGTCGTTTGTGCAAATCACAAATTCAGCAACTGATTTAACCATTTAGATGTAAATTTGTTACAAATGGAACCCCAAAGTGCTGAACTTTGAGGAATCTTGTGTCTGTTACATGTTGCCAGTTTGAACTGGCAAGAAAAAATTTTGTTACACTTTGTAGAACATGCTGTTTTTCTTCGGCGATATGTAGCCCGTTGTCAAAACAGTAAAGATAAATACCTCTTTTCTGGAAGTGGTTTTAAAAAGAGAATTACATTGAATTCTGGAGAAGAATACACTTTTAAAATATGCATTTAGATCGTTGAAATAGCAGATGTTTCGCTGTTTAACACACACACACACACAATGTAAAAAAAAAAATTTAGATGTAGACTGAGATTTGCTGTTAAATGGCGTTAAGCTACCCTATATAGGGTTTCCGAGGAACAGCTGGTGGATTCGAAATGCTTACCTTGTAGCTCGAAGTCCAGTGCTGATCCTACAGCACCACACCAGGAGTCCAAGCTGAGATTTGTTGTTTTTAAGAGTCATTGAGTCGATTCCGACTCATACTAGCCCTGTTTAGGATTTCCAAGGAGTGCCTGGTGTGTTTGAACCGCCAACCTTGTAGTTAGCCATCTGTTCCTACAGCACCACACCAGATTGAGATTAGGGATGATTTTTTCTTAATTGAACTAAACTGAATCCATTTTTAAATGATTAAATTAAGACCCGCAACGAGATGAACTAGCACATTGGCAGCGTCTTTGGGCTCAAGCGTAGCAACGATTGTGGGGTTGGCCCAGGACCCGGCAGTGTTTCATTCTGTTGTGCATAGGGTTGCTATTTGGTGAAAATATATACAGAGGATGGACAACAACACTAGTAAGGTATGTTCAACATGGAATAGTCAATCATTAAAAATCAAAAGGGCAACATTTTTGTAAGGACAAAGATGAGAAGGGATGGGAAATTGATGGAATGCAAATAGGAACCACAGGGAGGAAGTGGGATAACTTGTTGCATGGAGGGGATTGTTATCATTGAGATGAAACAAAGTGTCTGATTTATTGTCTGTAAACCTTCCCTCAATCCACAATAAAAAGTTAAAGAAAATTTTAAGAAAATATACATAGCAAACCTACTTCCATTCAGTTGATCAGTGGCGTTCCTTACTCACTTCACATCTGCTCAAGTTGTTTAATTGCATTGACTTAAACTTCCACCCCCACCCCCAAACCTTCTCTTCTATGTTACTGGAATGGCACTGCAGGATAAGTATAGGACGGCTAACCACAAGGTCAGCTGTTCAAACCCATCAGCTGCTCCTAGGAATCCCTATAGATGGTTGCTAGAAATTGGAACCAACTAGACAGAATTTAACAACAGTGTGAAGTTCTGTTTCTCCTTTTTTTTTTATCAGTATCTAGTCTGTGTGTCCCTGCTGTTGAGCGACCCTATATAGGGTTTCCAAGGAACAGTTGGTAGGTTTGAACTGTTGACCTTGCAGTGTGAAGTCCAGTGCTGATCCTACAGCGCCACACCAGGAGTCCGGGCTGAGATTTGTTGTTGTTAAGTGCTGTCAAGTTGGTTCAGACTCAAAACTACCCTGTAGAGAGGCTGGTGAGCTTGAACCACTGACCTTGTGGTTCAAACTGATTTAGCAGTCCAGTGCATTAACCCACAGTGCCACACGAGGTACTGATAACTGGGCTTCATCTAGTTCATCTAATAAACAGAAATCGTTTGTTTCAAACCTGGCCTTGCTACTTATTGACTTTATGACTTTGGAAAAGTTAATTAAACACTTCTGAGACTCATTTCCTATTTCTGGTAAATAGGAATAAAACCTTACAGGGACCCTCTTGTGATGAAATGCATTTGAATGTGGTTGTTTGTTTTGCATGATTTATGGCGGTTTGAGTGAAAGTTTACATACAAAATGAGTTTCCCATACAACAGTTTCTGTGTATTTTGTTTCATGACATTGGATGCAACCCCTTCAATATAACAACACTCTTCCCAGTTCCTCCCTGGGTTCCCTGTTTCCAATCACTCATCTTTCCTGCCCCCACAGCCTTCTGAACTTATTTGTGGCCAAATGCTGCCCTTTTCGTCTTGTATCATTAGTTGATGGTTCTGAGGATGTATATGGTTCACTTTATAGGTCTTTAATTGTTTAGCTGAAAGGTGATCTTTGGGAGTGTGTTCAGTTCCAGGTTTGAAGGTTGTCTAAGAGTTAGGGTGTTGGGAGGTCTCACCGATCTCTATGAGACCAGCAAGGCTACTTTTTTCTGATTTTGAATTTTGTTCTACATTTTTCTCCTTTTCTGTCCTGGACCTTCTATTGTGATCCCTGTCAGAGCAGTCCCTAGTGGTAGCCTGGCTCCATCTAGTTCTGGTCTCCAGCTGGTGGAGGCTGAGGTTTCTGCTGCTCATTAGACCCTTCAATGAGTTGTTTCTTTGAGCCTTTTAGTATCTTCACACACTTCTTTGCTTCGCTCAATAGTTGTATCTTAGATGGCAACTTGCAAGCTTTTACTCACTAGAGTAGGATGCAGAATGCTGTCTTTTATGGACTGTTGTTGTTATTGTTAAGTCCCATCGACTTGGTTCCAACTCATAGTGACCCTACATACAACAGAACAAAACATTGCCTGATCTCGCACCATTCTCACAATTGTTGTTATGCCTGAGATCATACTACCCGCCTCTGTGTCAGTCCATGTTGTTGAGGGTCTTCCTCGTTCTTGCTGACCCTCCACTTTACCAAACATGATGTTCTTCTTCAGGAACTGATCTCTCCTGACAACATGGCCAAAGAGAAAGAACAAGAGATGAAGTCTCAACCATTCTCCCTTCCAAAGAGCATTCTGACTGTACTTCTTTCAAGACAATCTGTTTGTTCTTCTGGCAGTCCATAGCACTTTAAATAGTCTTTGCTAAAACCATAATTCAAATGCTTCAGTTGCTCTATGGTCTTCCTTTTTTGTTGTCCAACTTTCACATGCATAAGAAGTTATTGACGATCCCATGACTTGGGCCAGGTGCACCTCAAAGTGACATCTTTGCTTTTTAATACTTCAAGAGGTGCTTTGCAGCAGATTTGTTCAGTACCCAATATGTTGTTTGATTTACTGACTGTTGCTTCCATGAGCATAGATTGTAGATACAATCAAAATGAAGTGTTTGGCAACTTCAGTCTTTTCTCCATTTATCATTATGTATGGTCGCTACTCAACGCACGTAAGAATAATTACGCTTCTTGTAGGACTGTGTATGTAATAGTATTTATAGTTGTTGCCTTTTATTCTTGAGTACCTCTCACTGTCAGTCTGTCTTTCTCTCAAGATATGCATCGGATTGCTAACTGCGTGTGTGCTAATTCAAACCCATCGGCCACTCCTCGGAAACCCTAAACAGGGTTGCTATGAGTTGGAACCAATTTGATTGCACTGCAGTCCTGGTGTGGTGCTGTGGGTTAATGCGCCAGACTGCAAAGCCTTTTAAACTGCAAGGTTGGTGGTTCAAGCTCACCAGCTGCTCCTCAGAAACCTTATACACGGTCGCTTCACAACAACAATAACCCTGTATGATCTTTTACGTACTTAATGCGTGTCTCTCCCTTGCTCACACATCCTTGGTAATCATCAAAGAATATTTCTGTACATAAACCTCTTCTTGATTTGTTTATAACAGTAGTCTCATAGGATATTTTTCCTTTTGTAACTGATTTATTTTAATCAGAGTAATGGCTTCCAGGGCGAAAGATGAGGCTTTCCACTCCTGCAAAGATTGAAAAACCTCAGAAGTCCTA